AAAGCTCTTAAAATAACTTAAAACAAGATCTAAAGATACAATGAACAATGTTGAGACTCTATACCTCCACAAGGTGAGAAATGAAGTGAAGATGCTAGATCCAAACCAAAACCAATCTTCCAAATCACAAGATGAACTATTTCTTCTTTCAAGCTTCACAAAAATGGATCCACACTCTTAAAACTCACACAAAAAGACTAGGGTTTGGGTGATGACCGTTTCCAGAGGATGGAGACTGCCAAATGAGGCAACCCTAGGAGTTAGTGTCTTTAAATAGGGCACTAATCCAAAATCTAGGGTTTTAAACCCTAGTCGGCGCCACGTCGTGACCAAGACCTTGCCATGTCTGGTGGTTCACAGATGCGTGTTTTCCTAAAACGGACTGCCACGTCGTGGTCATTCCATCACCATGTCGTAGCCTAGACGAAATCCTAAAACTTAATTAATGAAATTAAATTCAGAAGAACCATACCAGAAAATGGGTATTACACCTATTATATTATATATACTATTAATTGTTAAAAACTTGGTGAACAGGAACCTTTGACAATTTGCATTTGTGCCACACTTTTTCCTTCATTTACAACTTTTGCCACACCCTTTTGCAGACTTTATCCTTTTATCGCTTCGTCTCCACCGCCTTTGACTTCGCCTCTTTCTTCTTATCTCAATTTCCTCCCAGTTTCATTCGGAAAGGCTTCCATGTCTCTTGCGATTTCCGGCGCTACCCTCTTCTGCTTCATCTGCTTCGAATCAACCCACCGCCATTATCTTACTTCCACATCTTCTCTACCTCCGATCGGTGGCTTCCAAGGACGTTTCGAGATAGGATGAAGCCTCCCCTCCCTTTTTGCGACATCCAAAGATCGAGTGAGAGAGGGGCGAAATCACTTCCCCCATAATTCTAGATTTCTCTGGACGCATCGATTGCACCACAAAGGCTCGATTTCCCGTCTGATTAGATGAAATAGGAGGATGATGACAGCAGAGAAGTAACACTCACATCATCTGTGTCTCTACTATAAATTGAAGTCCTCTTCTTCTGTTGCTGCAGGTAGCCTATCCAAACTCCATATTTCCTCATTAAACTGTCTTATGTTCGTCTTTTTGTGTTATTACTGTGATTCAGGGCAAGAAAATGAGGCTGATGACATTTGGCTGAAATAAGTTGAAAAACGTGAGGGCGTAAATCGAAAGCATAGGGTTAATTTATTATCCAGGCAACCAAACAATTTATCCCCGATGGAAAACAAGTAAGTAATTCATTTTATTAAAAATCTGATATTGCTTTTGAGCTTTTTCTGGATTTCGGTGTGGTGTAGAGCTGCATAGTTACAGAATTGAAAGTTCTATTTGGTGATTATGGTCTGTAGGCGAAAGGATGACTCACCATTCGTATGCACTTGGGAAAACACCTTCTGGTATGATTCATATACTCGATTGAGCTTTTTGATTTTATATGACATGTTATCAGTTGACTTGTCCAAAAATTGTAGTATAATATGATAAACTAAGGGATTCCAATTCCCCCAAAAATTGGAAGAAAATCATTATCTATTTCTAGATTTCGCCCCTTTTGTAGATTGCTCTTAAGCATGGAATTATCTGTTAATGTCCTTACTTGCTATGTGTTATTATATATAAGATACAATGAAGTTTATATTGAATGCTAACTTTTGGGGAAAGTTGGATTATTACTACACCATAAAACGTACAATTATCAAAACACAAATGCTTCGCCTCTGTTTTCTCCCCGACCGCCATCGAATCTATTATATTCCTGTTCCTTAATCTTATTATATACCCGTTCCAAATTCCACCGAATAAAATGCATTCCGCAACCACGGTTAACTTTTCTGCTACTATGTGTTGCTATATGGTGCTCAAAAAGGGAGGAGTGGACAAAGACTATGTAGAGAAAACTATCATCCTGCTTGCCTTACCACCTACCTTTCTCTTCCCCCTACTTAAAATCAATTAGGTTCCATTCATTTTGGACAAGACATTAACAAGGTATGAACTTTCAAATTCAGTAATCTTCTTTTATTATGTCATTGAATGCTTCATCAGTACCCATTTATGTTTACTTAATTCAGACGAGATGATGTCTTCTGTTCCAGGTACCTGAGTGGTGTCCATGCTACACCAAGAAAACACTTCAGTTATACACACCCACCAACTACTCGATAAAATGCTTGAACCATATTTTTTAATTTTTATTCAAATATATCATTCAGGGTAATCTTAATTGTGTGCTCACTTAGCTTTTTAATCTTAATTTTGTGCTAAGTTATTATTTAATGTTACTTTCTTGATACCATTTTGTGATGGAACAGTGGTTAAAGTATGATGATTCATTTTGCTGGCTTTGTTTCATGATTGAAGAACTTTGATTCCTTGTGCCTACTGCGATATAGATACAAGTTTTACCAATTATATACTCTGCAATGATTGGCTATGTAAGTACATGAGTTTGATCATTTTTTACTGCAATACATCTTACATATTTTTCATTTGGTATTCCTATGTTCATTATTGCTATATTGACATATTTATGAGGCTATTTTTATACATTACTGATAGTTGTGACTCTTATTGCCATAGTTTTATTCATATTTTAAGGCACATTTACTTAAACAAATATATTCACCACATTTGGATTCTCCTCCCCTAAGATGGGTTCATTTTGCCCATGGACAACTTCTTTTCTTCTACCAGCTTTCTTTTAGATATATTAACCTTAGAATAAGTTCTTATAACTTTTGGTATAAATCTTCATTGATTTACTTCAAAATTTCTCAATATTTATACTACACTAGGTTATTTGTCATCACAATTGCAACATTTGACTTACATGTAAGTTAAGGACATGTTTTGGTTATTTGTCAGTGTATCTACACATCATTCAACAAAGACACAATAGGGAAATCTCATGAAGACAATTCATTATAATCATTTTTTTGTATTGGTGCAAAAGGGACTGTAGGTAATCTTAACAGAAAAACTTTACATAAATGAAATGTTTTGAATATTATTAGTAAGAATAGATGTAAGTTTTTATACATACATTACAGATTCAATGACAACATGTGTGATGATGAGAACTCACATGGACCTAAAGAGGTTAACAATTACCTTACTCGGGTCATGTACAATCGCCACAACAAGTTTGACCTTTTATGGAATTCTCTTATAATCGGTGGAGTAAAAAACGGTCACAAATATCTAGGACCGGTAAACTTTTTACCACATTTTTTTTTATAAAATCTTTACCAATATAAATCAATAAAAGTATTTATTATTATTTGTTTTATTTATATGTTGTCAGGTGAGCATGATTGTTGTACATTTTGAGGACAATCTTTGGGAATCACCTGGCAAGCCTAATACTTACTTCCTGAGGAATGGAAGGAGGATTTGACTTTTGAGGAGGGTGTCAAAACAAGCTTCAGGTCAAATTTTCATTTATTTTAAATTTTTTTAATGGAACTTTCTAAATAGAAATTTTGGTGATGATAAATTATTGTGTTGATAATGGAAACGACAGATAGCGAAGATCACGGATGAAGGTATGACCATCTCCCAGCCCTACTCTTTGAAGACTTTCTGGAATTTTGCTTCTTTTGAGAATCCTACACACCTCCCCCTATCATTTTTCTGTTTCGATATAGCTATGGATTTTTTTATTATTCTACAACCTCTTTCGTGTTTAATCAACCTGTAGAATCCAATCGACACAGGAGGTGGTGAGGTCGGCGGCAAAGGTGGTTCTACCGGTCACGCCGCCGTCATCACATGAAGGACTTCGATTAGGGTTTAATTCCTCCAATTTCACCTCACTTTATCTGTATTTTATCTTTGCTTAATTTCGCTGTTTAGTAAATTACTTTTTCCAATTTTAGAAAAGTCGACCTACGATGGGCTTTATGCGAAATTACGAAGATTTGAGGGGTTACAAAAGGTAAAAGGTTGATGCTTCAACAAGTCTCAATTTCCATCCCCCATTTTCATTACACTTTGATTTTAGAATAATTTTGATAAGGTTTGTTCTATTTAGGAACTCCATTTGCATTTTGCTTTTTGATTTCTCTTGATTTATTACATTTGCGTTTGTTATTTTTTGGGTTTACAACCTGAAAGAAGAAAAAATAAAATGACTCAGCGCCAACGGGCGCGCATGATTCTCATCTAGTTAATATTGTAGAATAACATTACATGTTAAGCAACATAAATACAATAAGGGTATATCAAGGGTTTGCATTAAATGTGTATATATTGATGTTAACACCGCTAATAGCCAATAAATCATTATCATATAAATTTCTTTCAACTACCAGTCGCCATTTCATTTATAATTGAATTTTATCCTCAAATAAAACTTATCCCCAAATACACAATCCCAACAAAACCCTCAAAATATTATTTATCCTAAAATCACAACATAAGAGTCATACATAAACTATGATTTGTAACATTAACATATGAAAATATAAATACAATATACAACCAACAAAAACAAATATAAATATAAATTATAGAATAAGAGAAAAAAAACCACAGTTACAAGAGTGTAACTTACTCTATTTTTAATGAAAAAACTTATATTTTAAGGTTTGTTTTCTTAGAAATTAATAGTTGTATTAGTTTCCCATTTTCCAATACCACTATACCATTGCCCCATTTAACTTTCACTTTATTTTACTAGCTCAATCTGACGGCAAGAAACTCTCGAAGCGCCACTGGCTCATCCCCAGCCGTTGGATGGAAATTGTAAATTTTGAATTTCTTTTACCATTGATGACGTTGCATTTTTATTCCCATTTTACCCCTAAACAAGAAAACCGATATAATATATATACACACACATAATGCAGTGAGCTTAAAGATAGTCATCCAAAGTTCTAGAGAGAGAGTAGGGTTTTCTCTCTCTTCTGATTTTCAGGGCTTTCCGATTTCTTCTAGGGTTTCTAAGAATTTTCTTTCAAAGCTTTAAAACAAAAATGGCTGATGACGGTGTTAGGAAATCGGGAACCGTGAAGTGGTTTAACGATACCAAGGGTTTCGGCTTCATTTCCCCCGAGGACGGCAGCGAAGATCTGTTTGTTCATCAATCATCGATCAGGGCCGAAGGATTCCGTAGCCTCGGAGATGGCGAAACTGTTGAATACGTTGTCGAGAACGGATCCGACGGACGGACCAAGGCTGTCGACGTAACTGGTCCTGACGAGGGACCTGTACAGGGAAGCACACGCGGTGGTGGTGGCGGAGGCGGCCGTGGAGGTGGTGGTGGTGATCGTTATGGAGGAGGAGGGTATAATGGAGGTGGCCGTGGAGGAGGCCGCGGTGGTGGTGGATATGGAGGCGGTGGAGGTTACGGAGGAGGTGGAGGTAGTTATGGTGGCGGTGGTGGTTATGGAGGCGGAGGTGGAGGTGGGAACGCTTGTTTCAAGTGTGGCGAGTCTGGACACATGGCTAGGGATTGCTTTCAGAGTGGTGGAGGCGGTGGTGGAGGATACGGAGGTGGTGGTCGTGGAGGTGGAGGATACGGCGGCGGCGGCGGTCGCGGCGGAGGTGGTGGTGGCGGTTGTTACAACTGTGGTGAAGATGGACATTTCGCTCGTGAATGCCCCAACGCCAACAACCGTTGATCTGCCGGAGGATGAATGGTAAATGTGTATTCCCACATTTACTTTTCATCTCCTCTGTATCTTGTTTGCTTTTTTGCTGTCTATGTTGAAGAAGAATCAATGGGGTGATCCAAATGTTTTGATATCACTTTTTTAGTTGCTTCATCTTGATGATGATCATCTTTAAATCTAGGGTTTCGGATATGGTGTCTTACTAAATATATATATATTGATAAAAAATTTGGTTTTTTAGTCTGTGTTAATGGGAATCCAAAGATGGTTGAATGGAATGATATCTATTTTCTCTTTAAACATGTATGATTTGAAATGTGAACTGCTTTTTTGTTTCTCTAAAGATTTGCTACACCTCACATGCAATGGAAAATAGTATAGTTTTCTTTTTCTCTCTTTTACCATTTATATCATAATATCATATGCATCTTATTTCATCTTATCTTGAATATAAATGTCTTCTTTTTCTTGTGAGTTTCCATCTGAAAATGATATTTTTGTTTATTTGGCAATGGTGAAAGTTCTGGCATTTTGTTTGAAAATGTGATAAACGGAATGTTTTTTTGATTTGGATTCTCTTTATTTTTTAAGCCACAAACGATATTCTAAGGCATATATATATATATATATATATATATATATATATAGATATAGGCTTAGGGAATATGTGGCATGTACTAAGCTTATATATAGAACCTTCCAAAATCTATTTATATCCAAACTATTCATGCTATCTCTTTTATAATCTATTTATATCCAAACTAATCATGCTATCTCTTTTATTATTCTTATTAATCATATGATTTATTAAATCGATCAAATTTATGTTTTTTTTTCATTGTATCTAAAAACTTAAAGCATTAAAAGTCGTGACCATTTAATCAACCCTACTAAATTCTAAACGAAAAACTAATAGAATAAAAGATAAAAGAAAAACATGTCATAACTCAATCAAGCTTTTCAAAAATCATTGGATATAATTTACAATTAAAAGACAAAACATTTGAGGTATATTCGTTAAAAGATATTGGTTTTTTTTTCTTTATAAACTTCAATAATTATTTGCAGTAAAAATATATATAATTGATTTTTTCATTCCATAATTGAACTTAATTCAATGATATTCTATTAAAACAAAAACTAAAAGAAAATAAAATTTGATTTGTTTTGTTTAAATCTACGTGGTTTAAAAGGTTCTATATGTAAGCTTAGTTAAATGAAAGCCACATTTTCACTTTTGTATATATATATATATTTATTTGGATTCGCTTTTATTTTGATTTGAAATGCTTTTTCCATTATTTGTTATGGTTTTAGCTCTATGGCCAGTGGCTTAATATTTTATATCTTGAAGCTTTCAAAAGATGTGATGGATATATGCTTTTTCCTATTAATTGGTATGGTTGTATTTGAACCAGATTCCATATTTTTGGTGGTATTTTGAACTAGATGCATGCCATCAATCACTGTTTTTAGACCTTTTCCGATGTATGAATTTAATAATAATTTATTGACTTTGTCATGTTGGCATTCTATTAATTTAGTTTAACAAAAGTTATTTACACAGTCCAATGTAATAAAGTTGTATGCTTATTTGTCATGTCCCCATTATATTATACTATTACTGTTATAAACCTGAAGTTAGATATTTGTAAAAATAAAAAAAGACGAAATTGCAAATATGGTCAGTCGAAAAAAATATATTTTTAGTAAAGAAAGATTATTGGTGCATAAATAGTTTAATTTTGGATAATTTGTTCTGATTTTGGATAATTTGTACGGTTTTGATTCTTATGATTAACATATTTCCATGTTTAACATATTTATGATTAACATATTTTCATATTTAACATATTTTTATATGTTTTTGGTCTAGATTCAACCCGAATTCAACGTGAATGACAAATATGCCCTTAATATTACTTTTTTAACATTTCTTTTACTTATATATTTTTTTTAACATTTCTTTTAATTATATATATTTTTTAACTTTTTCATTAAAAAAATAAAAAGAACTCTCTCTCTCTCTCAAAAAGAGAATACTAACATCACCACTACCGGTCAACCAAGAGGAGCTGTGACGCCGGAATTCTTGCCAGAACCGCTGACATCATTGTCGAAACCGCCAGCATCCTTGTCGGAAACGTTATTTTTAGATATCAAAGTCGTTTTTGTTTTGCAAACCCTAGCTCCGATTTGCAAACGTGACGACGACCACGTAAATGGAAGAATTGTATGTGATTGAATTAGTTGATTTTGAATTGGGATATATTGTGTGAATTGAATTAGAGATCAAGTGGGAGAGAAAGTTGACGAATAGAACTAGAGTGGGGGAGGGAGGGAGAGTTTCTTTTATTTTTAATTATTTAAAAAACAAGAAAAATAATACAAAAAACAAATACAAGGATATAATTGTCCTTTCAAATTGGTAGGGACCAAAACCGATTAAAGTATCAAAAATTGGATTACTGATTTACCACCAATTGTTTTAGGACGAAAACTACATAACTTTTAACAACCACATGCACTATTTTTGTAATTTTATGTAAAAATACAAATGTAAAAATTCAAATATGTAAAGTATTAATAGAACTATTTTTATAATTTTGTGTAAAAATTCAAATGTTAAAATTCAAATACGGAAAGTATTAATAGGACGCCAACGTGACAAATTCAATGTCATTGTTAATAAAAAAATTTCATATTTGATTTGATAGTATTGTTTCTAAAAGAGGCTTTTGTTATAGGAGAAATACATAAAAGCCTCTAAAGTTTCGTTTGATTCCGGTTTAATCATCCTATTTTATTTTGATCTACAAAAACCATTCCTGATTGACAAAAAAAAGTTTGACGCTCCAATTTTGACTTGGTGTAAATTTTGCATATTTTTAAGGTTTTTTCTTTCGAAAAAGCCATTCATATTTTTAAAAAAGTTTATTGCAACAATTATTACAAATGGTAACATAAATGCACTTTCTTATAGTCCAAATAACAAAATATTGATGTAAATATTCAATTATTTATTTCTTTTCATCATAAAAAATATATATAAGTTACCAATTATATACATTGTCCATTCAAAGAAACAATATAGTTTCAAACAATGTTATTTTCTTATCGTAAACAAAATAAAAATATAGGTTTATAGGCACTTTTAAGAATATAAAATATATTTCTTGGTTGTTTTATATTCTCGATAAAAGGTAATAGGTGAAATAACATTTTATTTACTTTTCTTAGTATTTGTTTAAATTACATAATAATTCAAGGTAGTTAAATAACATTCTATATATGAAGCAACTAGAAAATGCCTTATCCCCCTTCTTGGGGGACGCATGCAAGGTTTTGTGCGGAGGGGGAGGGGGGGGGGGCATGTGTAACTGTGAAAGTGTAGGGAGCAAACATGCAAATACATAAAAGTTATATGGTGAAAGCGTGAAACCCAAAAAGTGTAGAGTCAAAACATGACAATATATTGCAGTGGGCATGCAGGGGGCGTATTTTGCAAACTTTATGCTATGTAGGGACTATTTTTGTAATTTTTTTAAACATATGGACCGTTTCTGTAAAAAAATACACAAGTACTTTTTTTTGTAAATAACGAGAACCATTTTTGTAATTTATTTTCTATACAGAGGTCAAACCTATCAACATACGGAAATCTTAAACATATGGATTGTTTTTGTAAAAAAGAACTTTGTAGGGACCTTTTCTATACATTATAAAATTACAAGGACTAAATATGCTAAAATCCAACATCTTTGTGGCAAAACTTTAAAACTATAAACATGTACGGCAAAAATCCAAAATAAAAAAAAATGGCAAAATTTTAGAAGTAATAATATTTATGTCAAAAGTTTAAAACCAAGAAAAATTACTATTTAAACCAATTTCAATGGATAATCGTTTTCATATTTTGAGTCTCTGGTTAATTTATTTTAAATTTATTGTAGTTTGAAACTTAGTTTGTTTGAATGACAAATATACACATTTGGTAATTTGTTTTTTTGCATACTATGATGAAAAAGAAATAAATAATTGAATATTCGTATTAATATATTGTTATTTGAACTATAACAAATGCATTCATTTTATTATTTGTAGTGGTGGTTGTAATTGACTTTTTTGAAAACATAAACAGACTTTTTTAAAACTAAAAAACCTACAAAAGTGGCAGTGACAGGTCAAAGTGGTCAGATTGAACATTTTTACCAATCACAATTGGTTTTGTACATCAAAATAAGACAAAACTATGAAATTGGTCCTATGGTAATCATAAAACTATGGATAGGGTCCAAAAAGTTTCCAACTTTGCATGAAAGGTCCAAAATCAATAATTTTTTGTATTTTTAGTCATTTTAGTCTCCTCTCGTCTTTTTAAGTCTTGGATTTTTTTTTACTATTTTTTATTTCTTTATAAATACACACGTCGTCTTTCTTATTCATTTTCGTTTATAGAGAAAGAGCATACACTTCTTTGTTCTTCTTGTTTAGGGTTCTTCGTTCTTCTCCTTCTCGTGTTCAAGCTTCAATAATGGTGCTCTGCTTTTGTGGAAATGTTGTTGTTATGGTAACCTCCTAGACCTCACGAAACCCTAGTCGTCGCTTCTATGCAAGCCCTAAAATGTTAAGGAAACACATATTAGGTTAATGTTTTAACATTAATTGTGCAATAATTCTTCTACTTTGTTGTATTCATGTAGGGTTCAAGACGTGGATTTTTGGGTTGGGTCGATCCCTTAATGTGTCATAAATTAATTGTTATAATACTAGGGCTGTTGAGAACAATCAATATGTAAGAGGTTGTAGTAACTCACCTTAGGATGTATTTGGTTGCCTCGTGGATCTTGTTTCTATTGTTTGTGTTGTTTTGGAAATAGGAATTAGATGTTAAGGATGCTTTTGTTGGTAAAAACCACTTGAATATGTTGTCTTTGGTGTTGGAAGGCCTAATGGTGGTTAGTCTTTGTTGTAAAATTAAGAAGTAAATGTTGTTGCACTTGTTGTCT